GATTTCTCGAGTATTGTCGCGTGTTTTCTTGATGATTTTTCACACGTGTTTTTACGCTGATTTTTCGTATGTTTTCATGCCGATTTTTCGTATGTTTTCGCGTATTTTTTGCACCGATTTTCTGTGCGATTTTGCGACGATTTTTCTAATGCTTTTATGTATCTTCGCATCGATTTTTCGCGTGCTTTCGCGTCGATTTTTCCCGTTTTCTTGTGCCAATTTTTCGGGAATTTTCGCGTGTATTCGCACCAATTTTTCGGGTGTTTTCTCCTCGATTTTTCACGCCGATTTTTCGTACGTTTTCGTGTTTTTTTGCACCGATTTTCCATGTGATTTTTTTACAATTTTTCGCGTGTTTTCACGCCGATTTTTCCCGTTTTCTTGTGCCAATTTTTCAGGAATTCTTGCGTGTATTTGCATCGATTTTTGGGTATTTTCACATCGATTTTTCACGCGTGTTTTCACGCCGATTTTTCGTATGTTTTGGCGTTCTTTTTGCACCGATTTTCCGTGTGATTTTGTGACAATCTTTCGCGTGAAAATTGTCACCGATTTTTCTCGCTTTTTCACGTATTTTCGCATCGACTTTTCGCGTGTTTTCACGCCGATTTTTCCCGTTTTCTTGTGCCAATTTTTCGGGAGTTCTTGCGCGTATTTGCGTCGATTTTTCGGGTGTTTTCACATCAATTTTTCACGCGTGTTTTCACGCCGATTTTTCGTATGTCATGGCGTTCTTTTTGCACCGATTTTCCATATGATTTTGCAACAATCTTTCGCGTGAAAATTGTCACCGATTTTTCTCGCTTTTTCACGTATTTTCGCATCGATTTTTCGCGTTTTCTTGCACCAATTTTTCAAGAATTCTCGCGTGTATTCGCATCGATTTTGCTCGTATTTTCACATCGACTTTTCGCATTTTCTCGTTCCCATTTTTCTTGTCGTCGATTTTTCTCCCGTTTTCGCGCGCTGTTGCGTCGATTTTCCTCGCGTTTTCGCGTTTCCTGGCGTCGATTTTCCGCACGTGTTCTCTCCCGTTCTCACGCGGACTTTTCGCGTCGATTTGCCAACGCGTGTTCTCGCGTGGATTAATCACGCGTCTGTTCTTCCCTCTTTTCCCATCGCCTCGATCGAGGAGTATGCCGGACACGTAACTCGCGTGCGTGCGCCGCGACGCTCGCGCGAGCGTATGCCGGACACGGCACCGACGATCGAGTCCGCACGAAAATGTGGCCTCAGTGCAGTGGAAATTAAAACGACCTGACAGACGTATCTCCGCTGTTTCTCAATCGATGCTCGTACGGTGAATGACAACGAGGCTGTTGGTTCACGCGTCACCGAGGGCGAAACAGAGTTCGATCCGACGCGTTTCGCTGGTACTCGCCGCGTTGACGAAGCGTAGAGATACTTCTGCAACGCCTCGTTGCATCGCGAATGAAGCTCACAGCTAGCTACGAAGATACCATTCTTGCGCCATTGCCTCGGGGTGAACGCGAATCCTCGTTAGGAGACCTGGGGTAAGTGGCGTTTTCGGGGTTGCCTTATGACGCAGTTGACAATTATACTAATCTTACAATTATATCATACTAATCTCCTAGTTATTTATGAGACGTGGGACGATTTTTTGGGGGTTAAATTTGGGTTCCTTTGACTCGGTATGTTAATTGAATGAGTAATCGAGGAATCTCGATCTAAAATACACAGAGGGTTATAGTAGTCCATGAAAGTGTCAAAACACTGTCAAACATGCGTTATTAATTTGGGAAAATATTTGGAAGCATAGGAAATTTAAATTTTTAAACGTTCCAATTTTCCAATTCCCAGATATTCCAATTTGTATAGGTTTTTGATTAAAATTTTCAATTGTATCGACAGTTTCGAATAATATCGTGGTGAGCTAATATTTTTGCATAAATGAAGGGATCAGAACCTATTGGATTGCTATAGTCATTTTAATTCGCATTATTGTTCTTATGGGGAGGAATGAAATCTTCGAATGGGGATAAAAGAAGGATTAATTTGGTTAAACTATTGGATTGCTATAGTCATTTTAATTCGCTTTATTGTTCTTATGGGGAGGAATGAAATCTTCGAATGGGGATAAAAGAAGGATTAATTTGGTTAAAATGGGGATAAAATTTTAATATATAGTTTTAATATATAATTTTTAATACGATCAAATAATCAGAACGTGTTGCTAAATCTCTCTTATAATAACACTGCTATTTCAGCAATTTTTCACGTTTATTAAATGTTCCAATACCTTCGTGACGTGTAAGAGTATACGCTCGTGATTTCGTACAGTTTATTCAATAAGTAGCACGTACTTACGAAGCACGATAAATCGTCCATGGAAAAGAACCTTCATTTTGTAATTAACACATTGTTGACCGGTGACGAGTTAACTCGTCTGTTCCTGCTTAAACGTTGTTCACCGGTGACGAGTTAACTCGTCATTGAATTTGCATTATCTATTTCAATTTATGAAACCCAGAGCGATATAGAATATTGCATGTAAAAATAATTTTGAAGATTGGATTACAAAATAATAGTTGATGACATGGCATGATTTCTGTGTAAAATTGTCAACAAAGCTCAACAAAGTGTTAATGATCGTATAAGCTGTCAAAATTACACTTTCTATAGTGTTGGAATATTTTTGTGAGCCACTGTACTGTCAAGAAGGTCGAAGAAAGCGTAGACAGAATTCTTCCTATGACAGTCTGTTCTTGGACTGTCAAGGTACACGTGTAAATGATCGCATTATACCAGGCATCACGTTTTTCATCTGTCAATTCGTACACGTGTCAAATTAACCACTGTCCTCGATCCATTTTCATGCAGCATCGGTAAATTGATACGTGTCCGAGTATGTTCGATCACGTTGACGTATCGGCGCAGTTACATAATTCGAGGTTTGCTAACTGCTGCCACAGCGAAAACAGTGCAATTCGACTAACATCAGCATTCACCGACAAAAACCCACGCGAATTGAGAAAAATTTGCATACCTAAGCGAACACACGTTCGCTTTCTCCGAATTGGCAGACAGATATGTTTCTCCGCTTCGTGGAAGTATTGGGAAGCATTCGAGATACTCAGTGATGGTTCAAAATGAAAACGAGTCACCCTTGCAGTATATTTCTGCGAATCATTCAGCGGAAATCTGTGTGTCATACCTCGCTGATGCCAAAAATTCGCGAATCTTTCGAAATCGTTTTTCTCGTTACACTAACCGACGAAATTATGCTATACTCCGTGATTTGTGGACGTTGTACTTTTATCTTGAAGGTGTACTCATATACATATTTTTTCCTTAATTATATGGAAGAATATTTCTCTTTTAAATTTGATTTAAAATAGACGAACGAATTTTTTTTTTATCAATGAAAAATTTTTTTCGCGTTTCTTTTAGGTATTTGCAAAAATCGCGAATCATGTTCGGTTTAAAGAGGGAAATTAAAAAATATCGATTTTTGCATATTCAGTAAGTTTTTCCTAGTATAGCACTAATTTTCTTTTATGATATTGAATTCCATTTATGATCATACGATGTTCTTCTACCGAGATACACTTCTTTGAAGTTACACCGATTTTTCGAATGTTGTCAATTTGTCAGTGTTATTACATAATACTAACCATCCCCTATGAGACCAAATTGAGATATAATTCGTGGTATTAAAATAGCTAAAAATAAGTAAAAGATCAATCTGTTTCATACATGTCACGCACTATTTTTAATATTTCATAACATTAAGCTTCCCCTATTAGTCCAAATTGAGATATAATTCGGGATATTAAAATAGCTAAAAATAAATGAAGGATCAAACTGTTCCATACGTGTGACTTACTATTTTTAATACTTCTATCATCATCGTCACAAATTGCAAAAATTTCCGGTCAAACATGGCAACACGAAATGATCAAAAATCAGTTTTTCCATTATAAAATGACATAATCTAAGCACAAATCGGACCATTAAACCTAATACGATCCAAAACCAAAGAAGAGGAAGAATTTAAACTTCCATTCTCATTGAGAACAAAAATAATGGAATTTTTAGACGTCTCTTACCCCCAGTCCATCATGCACAGTGCAACAGCCATTCACGATTACTCTCTGGCAGCACGAAATGATCAAAAATCAGTTTTCCCGTTGTAAAATGACATAATCTAAGCACAAATCGGACTATTATACCTAATACGATCCAAAACCAAAGAAGAGGAAGAATTTAAACTTCCATTCTCATTGAGAACAAAAATAATGGAATTTTTAGACGTCTCTTACCCCCAGTCCATCATGCACAGTGCAACAGCCATTCACGATTACTCTCTGGCAGCACGAAATGATCAAAAATCAGTTTTCCCGTTGTAAAATGACATAATCTAAGCACAAATCGGACCATTATACCTAATACGATCCAAAACCAAAGAAGAGGAAGAATTTAAGCTTCCATTCTCATTGAGAACAAAAATAATGGAATTTTTCCACGTCTCTAGCCCCCCAGCCGCACAGTGCAACAGCCACTCGCGATCACTCCCCGAATTCAATCAGCGAATACCCTTAACGTTACCACGACGTACGCTTCGTGAAAAAGCAGAAAAAAAAGGTGAAATAAAAGAAACGGATACAAAAGGAGGGAAGAAAACCGGTCACAGCAGCGGAGTCTGTCGCGCTGTCCAAAAGCCACTCACGGTCACTCAACGAATCCAATCAGCGAACGTTCTTTGCTCTACGACGACGCGCGTTTGGGAAAAAGAGAGAAGAAAAAGGAAAAGATAAGAAACAGATACGAAAGAAGCGGAGGATCGGTGCTTCGTCCTCCAGTTGCCTGAAATCTGCGTCGAAAGGCAACGCGCCTACGACCTTGCTCGCCCGGCGTCCTCGACATTCCCTCAGGATCGGAGGTGGGCACCGATGGCCGCGCGATTGGCCGTGGCAGAGAGCTGACGATCGGGCCCCGGTGGTCTGTCTGCAAACAGCCGCCACTCGGTTGTAGTCGCCGGACGATCGCGTGTCTTCGTGACTATTGGCTGTTTACAAGTGACGCGAACGGTGGCTGTGGTCGCGACTCGGGTCACGAACGAGGAGTATCGCCTAGTCTACGGCCGATTGCCGGCATGGAGAAATGCCGCGAGCGGGAAAGGTGTTCGCACGCTCCAAGTCGCCTCAGTGCTCGGTGATTAAGGGACCAAGCAACGTGTCACGCCCAAGTCTAACGGCTCATCCACGCTTCTTTCGTTCGACAACTTCCAGTTCCCCGTGTCGCGCTCTTGCTACTACCTGTTGATCGCGTTTACGACTATGCTTCCACGTTGCAACATGTGCGGATAGACGAGTGGTTACTTCGTTTCCCGTGCATAGACACTGCTCGCGAGTTTGACACGGATGCTGCGCGCCTCTTGCCCGGGACTAGTGCACACGTAGGCCAAGCTTGGGACTTAGGGATAGCCAAGCGTTTCTCTGACGCGAGGGTGCTGGTCGCCGGTTCTTTTATTAATTAGAGAAAGCTGTACTTTCGATTAGGATCGCTGCTCATTCAAGAGTGCCCGTGTACGTGTGTGGAATGAGAATTCTGGAGAAATTTGCGTGCACAGAATTGAATATTCCGGTAAGTTTGGCATCAATCATGACTAGGCTTGGTCTATGTAGAAGTTAGGGTCCTGTGATTCTTGTCTGATAAAATTGTGGCGTCCAGTTTAGGATTTTTCGATGCCAATTGTAGTCTCGTCGCGTGATGCAGCACTCATGTGCGAATAGGATCAGTGTTAATTGTAGAACCTAAGTTAAAAGCAGGGCTGACGTAATTTGTCCTACCAGGTCTACAATGTGAGTCTCTAAAAGAAATTTGCGTCTATGGAATTGAACGTACCTATCAGTTTGGCATCAATCATGACTAGGCTTGGTCTATGTAGAAGTTAGGGTCCTGTGATTCTTGTCTGATAAAATTGTGACGTCCAGTTTAGGATTTTTCGATGCCAATTGTAGTCTCGTCGCGTGATGCAGCACTCATGTGCGAATAGGATCAGTGTTAATTGTAGAACCTAAGTTAAAAGCAGGGCTGACGTAATTTGTCCTACCAGGTCTACAATGTGAGTCTCTAAAAGAAATTTGCGTCTATGGAATTGAACGTACCTATCAGTTTGGCATCAATGATGACTAGGCCTGGTCTATGTAGAAGTTAGGGTCCTGTGATTCTTGCCTGATAAAATTGTGGCGTCCAGTTTAGGATTTTTCGATGCCAATTGTAGTCTCGTCGCGTGATGCAGCACTCACGTGCGAATAGGATCAGTGTTAATTGTCGAACTTAAGTTAAAACACGGACTGACGTAATTTGTCCTACCATATCTCCAGTGTTAGACTCGAAAAGAAATTTGCGTGCACAGAATTGAGTATTCGGTAAGTTTGGCATCAATGATGACTAGGTCTGGTCTATGTAGAAGTTAGGGTCCTGTGATTCTTGTCTGATAAAATCGTGACGTCCAGTTCAGGATTTTCCGATGCCAAGCTTGTGTCTGTCAAGTCTGCGAATGAGTCTCATCGCGTGATGTACAAATAGGATCAGTGTTAATTGTCGAACCCGAGTTAAAAGGGGGGCTGACGTAATTACCACGTTTGCAGTGCGAGTCTCGAAAGCGTCAAAGATGGAGTCAACCGGAGTGACCTGTGCAACCACAGCAGAGGCAAGCGTGCTGTAATATAGGATCCTGTAATATACCAGGGTTTATTTTTTAGTGGACCATCATCAACATTGTTGCACTCTGTGTCGTAAGAATCGATAAAATTACTTTCACTTTTGTCACGTCTGTTTCATATTAACAGTACACCCAGGCGTCCTCCATTAAAAGCAATCGAAACCCATTCGGGAACGCCGCTGAGTCATCCAACGACCGCCTGTCCTTCGAAGAGGAAAGTAGTCGCTTCCAGAAACGTTTCCTATCCTCCTACTTTCGGGTTTGTTCAACTGTCCTTGACATTGAAGCCTGCGTAGTCGACTCGTAGAGAGGAGTTACGTAAGGATGAAGGGGCCGCGTGAGATCTCCGAATAGCTCTTTCCGGAATATAAACGTCTCGTTACATCTGCAACCCGTCCCGACTGACCGTGAAAACTCCTTTCCTTTCTTCCAAGTCGCCATAGATTAGACTCTGATCTCCTCTCGAGGCGAAGTTCCGTTCAGTCTTGTCGTGACGTCTCGAGGTTCCACGAACCGACGTCACACCTAATTCCGCAGCTTCGCACCACGTAAACAACGCATCTCGAAACTGAGGTCGTTTTTTCTGATCCCATACCCGAACGAGAGGAAAGCAGCAGCTAATTTCAAGGACTGTCGACTGTTCGATCGGCATTTACGCGTTGGTGAATCACGCTGGAATCAGAGCAGCAGGAAGACTCGCGTATTTATTAGCGTTGTCCTGACACTATCGACTGACTGATCGATCCCGGTCCTAGGTGAGCAACGATGAACTCGCGGCATGGGAAGGATGTTGCACGGTGACGCATCGGTGTTCTCATAGCAAAGTAATACATTAGAGGGTCTCTAACGTGTCGTTGGACAGCTCAGGAGCGGAGGAATCTGGCGAGTTGAGTGTGAAACTAGTCATTCAGAAAATCCAAGTTAGATTATTACACATTCCGCCGTGATGAACGGTAACTGACGTTGTATACGAGGGTAGTGTCGTTGTGTGGAGTGAGCGAGTAGAATAAGAATCAGTTAGACTCGGCGAATGATAAATTCCCAGTTAGGCAGACTAACTGTACTCTTTCCTTCGTTCGTGAGATTGTGTTTGCTCGATCCACGAAGCACTGTCTTCAGCAATTTTAATTTCATCCATCCACCCTCATTCCTCAATTGTCATCTCAATTTTCATCTTGTCTCGATTTTCCTCAGGACATGTATTATCTTGTTAATATTGCTCATAAGATACTTTGTTTCGTTGAAAGGCTTGCCTCTGATTTCAGCAATATTTATTGTCTCAGGCTGCTGTACATCATCCTCGTTAGATCTAACCCCGAATATGCATCTATTATATGGTTTCCTCGCATTAACAATATAAAGCTTATGAAGGGAGTGCAACATAGCTTCGTGAGATTTGCAGCTCATAGGTCGGGTACCCTGATGCATTTCACTGACCATGATTATGGACCTATGTTGCACAAATTGAATCTCATCCCGGTAGCATCTAGGAGGACAGTTATGGACTTGCTTTTTCTTTACAAAATTTGTTTCTTTACAAAAGAACGCCCTATACTAGTAGATGACCACTGCGCACTGACACACATCTCCATACTGCGAAAATGTAAACCATATGGATTACTAGGATTTAATAGATAAGAACTACATAAAACTTAATGCGTTCATAAATATTAGGGCAAATTTCCATGACGTAATGTTTCGTTATACCCAGTTAGCAGATTAATGAATAAATAAACAAATAAATAAATTATCTATCATTTCTTGCTATCATGTGGATAGCCAGTGACCCGAAGTGAAGTTAAAAAGTTTCTCTTTCTGCACATTCGAAATATAAAATTCGATTTATGAGCTTTGAATACTCCGTGTACTAATAGCATAATTTCTTCTTGCAGATTGCCAATGATCCAAAAGAGAAGCTGAAAATCGCTCGGCCATTTTGAAGCATGAGCCATCGATCTCCCTGACTTGGACAAGGGAAGATCCTCGAGATCAAGTCAGCGAGATTGCTTCTCGAGAATCCGTGGAAGCATGTTGCCCTCGTCGAGGTTGCTCCAAGAGGAGCCATCAGAGTCCGTCCACGGGTCAGCCACTCCCGCAACTCCGTCCGATGGATCCACGGCGCTGTCGCCGATGGTGGTCCACGAGGTCGAAGGGAACGACGACGACCCTCCGCCTTACAGTGCCGTGGTGCCGCCGAATCACGTCGGTTGGCCGTTCGACTTTTCGGGAAATCGGTATTCCACGTGCAACCCGCCGTCCTACAGAGCTGACGCGACTCCGTTGGCCCGGTTCCAAACTGGCCCGACGCCTGGCTCAGGTTTCCATCACGAGAGAACGGACGGCCAACACTCCATCCCGATGCCTTTAATGCCCTGCCGGCTGTTCATGTTCGGCTCCCGCAGATCTCTGTTCTCGCACGAAGGCCTGCCGTTCAGGGATAACATCTCCGTGAGCAAGGACAGCCATGGAAGGACACGCAGTAAGTACCAGTAAGCTTCTAAGAGACTCCGTGGGCCATGAGAGGCGTAACCGTGAGTCAGCGTAGCGTCTTTCGAGAATGGCCAATGCTATGGATCATGGGCTTGGGGAATTTACTGGCTTCCTTGACAGGTTGTGGAATTTTTTTTTCGGAGGCAATTCGAGGTGAACGTACGATTGGTGAATAATTGAACCTGTGGATGAACACCTTATTCCCTTATTCCCATGGTTTCTCTTCTTCATCTGCACTCGTATCAATGAACACTCCATTATCATATTTTGATCAGAAAATTTTTATTCGAATGCAATTGCTGCTTTTATTATTGTAAAAAATTCGAGGCGAACGTACGCTGGGTGAATAATTGAACCTGTGGATGAACACCTTATTCCCTTATTCCCATGGTTTCTCTTCTTCATCTGCACTCGTATCAATGAACACTCCATTATCATATTTTGATCAGAAAATTTTTATTCGAATGCAATTGCTGCTTTTATTATTGTAAAAAATTCGAGGCGAACGTACGATGGGTGAATAATTGAACCTGTGGATGATCACCTTATTCCCTTATTCCCATGGTTTCTCTTCTTCATCTGCACTCGTATCAATGAACACTCCATTATCATATTTTGATCAGAAAATTTTTATTCGAATGCAATTGTTGCTTTTATTATTGTTAAAAATATTGCATGCTAATGGAACAATTTATTGGCTTCCTTAGCAGGTTGTGGAATTTGGGGGGCGGGGGAGGGGGATTCGAGGTGAATGTACGATGGGTAAATGATTGAACCTGTGGATGAATTCCTCATTCCCATGGTTTTTCTCTCTTTTTCCTTCGCATTCGTATAAATGAATAAGCCATTTTGTCCATTAGAAAATTCTGATTTGAATGAAATTGTTGTGTCTTTGTTATTGCAAAAAATATTGCACGAGGATGGAGAATTTACTGGCTTTCTTGGCAGGTTGTGGAATTTTTCTTTTTGGGGGAGTTCGAGGTGAACTGATGAATGAATGATTGAACTTGTGGATGAATTCCTTATTCCCATTTTTTCCCAGTTTTTCTCTCTTCTTCCTTTGAACTTGTATAAATGAATAAGCCATTTTCTGAATCAAAATATTCCGATTCGAATGAAATTGCTGTCTTTTTATTGTTTTAAAAAATATTGCATGAGCCTAGGGAATTTACTGATTTCCTTAACAGGTTGTGGAATATTTGGGGGGAGGGGGCCGGAATTTCTTATTGCCCTGATTTTTCTCCCTTCTTCCTGTGCACTAATATTAACGAACAACTCGTTATCTCATCTCGATCAGGAAATTCGGATTTGAATAAAATTGCTGCACCTTTATTATTTTTACAAAAAATATTCCAATGCAGAATTGCATTGCAGAAACACGAGGGAAAAGGTGAAGCTTTACATGCGTTGGATAAGTGAATTTTCTTGTAATATAGCGTGTCAATATTTTTTTATGTGCTCTGTGTGTCGACGTGTTAAGTGAACTTGAATTTGAGATTTGGACTTTGAGATTTTGCGAATGTTAAAAGGATACAGAATAATATAGCGATAACTGCGTGTGAATGACGACGTGATTCCGAGTGGAAGTTACCTGAGGAGCTTGGAAAATTTTGGCGAATGTTTTAATTTTTGAATTTGCACGAAGGTATGTTATTGCAGAAGTTTCCGACAGTGAGAGAATAGTGGATATAAATATTCATCAGGCTATGATTAAGCGTGAATGACAATCGATTGGGAGTGGAGCATGAATGTCTCGCGAATTTTAAATCGATGTCTTTATTTCCGGCACTCCATTCAAGATTTCCTTATTATTATAAAATTCCGCGAGTAAGATTACACACCTATAATAACCATTCGCTGTGAGTGGATTGCGAACAAATATAGATATTTTCAATTTTATTATTATACTATTCCTGGCAGAAAATGATTATTGTAAAATTATGAAATTATTATTATTATACTACCCTAGGTTAAAAATTATTATAAAATTATAAAATTATTATTTTTATACTACTCCTGGCAAAAAATGATTGTCATAAAATTGTAAAATTATTATTATTATACTACCCTTGGTTAAAAATTATTATTATAAAATTATAAAATTATTATTATTATATTACCCCTGGCAAAAAATTATTATTATAAAATTGTAAAATTATTATTATTATACTACCCCTGCTCGAACTCGATAACACTCATTCTTTCTTTATTTTTTCTTCAATAATAGACGAAAATTTTAATTATTTTTCTTTTCCGCTTCGTGTTTATATTTCACAGCACGTGACAAGTGAAAAGTTACAATAATTGCAAATAATTTCGCGCTATTGTGTTTAGTGAAAATTTGCTTGCCAGGGGTGGAAGAATTCGTCAAACCTCGTGATACTGATTCCTAAATAGGGTGCAGGTATTAAAATAAAGCCTCTGTAGGTTCACTTTCAAATTTTATTAAAATTCGATAATATTCTTTCTTTATTTTTTCTTCAATAATAAACGAAAATTTTAATTATTTTTCTTTTCTGCGTGAAAAGTCGTAATTATAAATAATTGCAAATAATTTCGCGCTGTAGTGTTTGATCAAAAAATTCCTTTGCCAGGGGTAGGAGAATTCGCGGAACCACGCGATCCTGATTCCCAAATAGGGTGCAGGTATCGAAACAAAGCCTCTGTGGGTTCACTGTTCGCTCGCAGCTGCTCTTCACAGGTCAATCGCTCGGGAAACTCTCCCCACGCATTTCCTTCGTCTTTTACGTTTCCATTCGATGCTAAACCAACTCTGGCAGGCATTCCTTGCACCCGTTCGCCGATCTTAAAACCGAACCGGTATAATCAGGACCCGCGTTAAAACTATACCGATCCCCGTCGCCATTGTTCCTCCTCCCCGACCAAGCAATTTTCCACGACGCTTTATTATATTCAGCTACATTCTTCAACACCGACCTCACCCTGAATAACCATTTTTAAATCGTCGATTAAAAATTTAGCATTCAACGTTGTCGCTTTGATCACGCGACTCCTCCATTTTTCTTTTAACGCGCGTTTTATGAACTTCCCTTTCGTATTTTCTCTTTCACCCCTCCTTTTATTCCAACGTGATGGTCTTCTGACCGGTTGCAGCGAGTTGGGTGTTAAATTTTCCGTTTAATAACGCGTTCAATAACGCGCGAGGTTTCGTTTACAAAGTAACAGCGACGCCGGCGAATGCGCGATTTACGAGTACGATAATTATTTTTAATTGCATTGAAAAATTGCAGCCTTATTTGTCCCGCGATTCGCGATTCAGGCTTTCGCACTTGGAATTGTCTCGCCTCGACCCGGCGAATAAATTCGTTTGAATGCAAAGTGGCAGGGGCCAGGGGGGTGGGGGCACGTCGCTTTTCCGCGAAATTTTCCATCGTTTGGAGCACGCATGTCGCGGGTAACGAGATCTTTAACGGTGCTCGCTTTCCACCGCGCATAATTCGACCCGCTGAAGATTCATTACAATTTTTTTTTATCCTAATCGCTGAATGTAACGCCAGCGAAATGCACGCGTTTGGCTTTGTACCACAACATCGCCTCCATTTCCTTGCCTCTCTCCTTTTTCCATATTTTTTCCCCCCAAAAAGCACGCTCGTTTCGCCTCGTCGTTGCCTACCTGTCCCGACCTGGAATTAAATTTGTTTTCCAAACTCATCGGCAGGGCCGGCGCGAGGCAGGTTCAGCGGAGAACCCGGTTCCGGGTTTTGAAAGGCCCCGCATTTTTAAAGACCCCACGTTTTGAAAGGCGCCACGTTTTTAAAGGCCCCACGTTTTAAAAGGCCCCGCGTTTTCAAAGGCCCCGCGATCCACGAAAATTCATCAGACCTTTTGCAAGACCCCCTGTATAGTAAATTGAATATCCGGATGCATGATTATAGAAAATACAATCGCATAATCCGTTAATCGATTACGGGTTAATTGGATATGGTACAGCTTGTTGTACACTGACTGAGAGATTTTCTCTGCCATCTTTGCATCGAAACATTTCGTTGCAGCGTGTTCTAAACGTTGACGTTAACCCATTTGCATCATGGCTCTACTTAAGTTACCGTGTTCAGGCATCACTGGCGTTCAACTGACGACTAGCGCGTATCACCGCGCGCGTATCAGCACCGACTCATAATGGCAGTTAAAAGGATTTTCACAACAAAAGTAAAACTTGTTAAGAATATAATGAACCGATGTAGACGGAATGCTCACAAAAGGGATCAAACGTGATCTGTGGCATACGAAGAATATTCAGCAACTGGTAATGGAAAAAGTCAGCTCGCGGATTATTCCGCGCTCGGTGATAAGCGACAGTCGTAGCTCGCGGAATATTCCGCGCTCGGTGATAAACGACAGTCGTGGCTGGCGGAATATTTCGCGCTTCGATGCAAATGGGTTAAACGTTGACGTCATAGGTTGATACTACTGTAACACGGGTGTGGAAGATATTAGACGTTAAGGAAATCACCTGATTAAAAAACACCGATTTTAATTAACTTTTTAAAGAACAGTGGTACCATACTGTACCATATCGGGTTTAAATGTATATTCTCTCCAGGGTGAAAATTTTTGAACCTGGCCCCACGAAAGGTCACGCCGGCCTTGTTCACCGGCATACAAACGTCACTTTTACCCGGGATTGAAAATAGAAATAAGGAAAACGCTCCACCATTCGAAGTGTAAATTTCTTTCCAGATTTCTCCCCATCCTCGCTGATGCTTTTAAGCTTTTGACACTGCTGCTTGACAGGGATTTGGATTGGATTCGTATCGGTTTGTTCGTAAGAGTTACGGTTGGTCTTTTGCAGAGTATGGCGCCATCTTGGTCGGTGCGGCCGTGATCGTCTTCCTTATGGTGCTGTCACTGCTGGTGCGGTTCATCATGAACAAGCATCTTTGGCGCGGTTAACCAAGGACCCAGGGATGTCGTGGCGAACCGTGGCATAACAGGTTTTCTTCGTTCTCGATCTAGACTGAATCTAGAGTAAGCGTGTAATTCCTCCCGCTGACGCAATCGCAGGTGCAATTAGAGCATGATTGTCTGCGACAGAACGGCTGGAATTCGAGTCTCGTGAGTTGTGCACGTTTTGTCGCGTACTTTGATCTTTCCATACTTCCAAGTACGCGTTTGCTCGTATTTCGGACAGTGACGTAGCGAGTCTCGCAGTTTCTTTCTCCTCTTTCCTCTTCCTTCCCCGATGTTAAGAGACACGTGTACAGCGTCTTTTTATTAATCACGACGTGATTTGTAATTTTATACGCTGGAATTATGTGGAATTAAGCGGTATTAGCTAAGACATAAGAAACTCTGTACATAATCTTGCAATATTTGTATAAAACTTTTGTATATTACTCCAGTCGAAGTTCTTTCATTTTGTCCTCCATTGTTCTCGACGTTCCGACGTTTATGTATAAATTTTATTTATCACTATGCTAGGTATGATTATTATTTCGTTACTCGCGACAAAATTTTGCGAGATAAAATTGTCGATTATAGTGTGGAAATTTAGGAGTAATGGAAAAGAGAGTAACAGAGATTATTTAAAGTGTGATAGGTCAATTTGACTCTTACAAGGAGAGTGCAAGCCCTTCCAATGTTATAGCTTTAGTCGAAACTTTGCAGGTTTATAGATTTAGTTATGCAGTTCAGGAAAATGGATTATAAGGATAAGTATTCGATAGTTTTCGGGATATTTATGGATAGAATGTTATTATTGCCTTAATTACAGATTTATTTCGAATATTTATCGAGTGCCTTTATGGCCTAATAGCGATATCCGAAATTTATGATTAGAGTTTTATTACTGCCCTAATTACAGATTTCTTTTGAATATTTGTCAAATATCGTTGTGGCCTAATAGCGATATCCGAAATTTATGATTAGAGTTTTATTACTGCCCTAATTACAGATTTCTTTTGAATATTTGTCAAATATCGTTGTGGCCTAATAGCGATATCCGAAATTTATGATTAGAGTTTTATTACTGCCCTAATTACAGATTTCTTTTGAATATTTGTCAAATATCGTTGTGGCCTAATAGCGATATCCGAAATTTATGATTAGAGTTTTATTACTGCCCTAATTACAGATTTCTTTTGAATATTTGTCAAATATCGTTGTGGCCTAATAGCGATATCCGAAATTTATGATTAGAGTTTTATTACTGCCCTAATTACAGATTTCTTTTGAATATTTGTCAAATATCGTTGTGGCCTAATAGTGATATCCGAGGTTTATGATTAGAGTTTTATTATTACCTTAATTACAGATTTATTTCGAATACTTGTCAAGTATCGTTGTGGCCTAATAGCGATATCCGAGAATTCCCATGTCGGTAGCTGTCTTGCTAACTATCGATAACTATTCAAAACAAATCTCTAATTAACAATAATAAAGCTTTAATCATAAATACCCCTAAAACTATCGAGTAGTTGGTCTTATAATTTTCCTGAACTGAATTACTAGACCTAGAAACCCACAAAGTGTCAACTGCATATATGATCCGAAGGACTTGCACTCTCCATTGATAGTCGATGATATAAACACGAATTATACTGTGAAAATGTCATAGTAATAGCAAAAGCATTCCTTCGTTCATCTTCCTTCATACTTGTCATTTCGATGTACATATTAATTTTGCTAATCTCTATGCTAAGCATGACTCTTATTTCTTCCATACAAAATTTTAATAAGTCAACTTGACTCTTGGACATAACGCTTATATTTGCATTGAAAATCAATGAGGCAGACACGAGTTACACCGTGCAAATATCATAGTAACAGGAAAAATATTCTTTCATTTATCTTCTTTCACACGTTGCCAATTTCATTTCGCTGTCAACTTTAGAACCGTGCAACTCGTGTTACCGTGTCAAGGCCTAGCAATAGTAAAAGAAACCCTCGAAATTATTCATCCGGTACACAACATCCGTCCTATTTCCGTTCATTTTATTATCTCGATATTCGCATTAACATTTTATGATCGTTTTAAGTGTGATCGAGCAAGTGGATGCCTGGCGGCGATGGCAAAAGAAGCCTCACGAGCCAAGAATAGCGAGACATACTTTTACCGAAGAGGTAAAATGGTAATTGGTCGCGCAAGGTCGCGTGTGAAGGAACAGGTTGCACCTTGCCGTGCATATGCCAATCAGCGAACGCTAAATCACCTTTGTATCGTTCCGCGGAAACGCGGAGGTTAAACAGCTCTGTTGATCCAGCGTATTTCGTTAGTGGAACGAGCCGATACTCGAATTAGAGGAACAAACGTTTGTCTGTTTACTTTCAGCGGTAGTTAGCGTCCTAGCAGCTGGCCAGTCGAGTGGCCATGTTGTATACCTCGTTTCGAAGTCCACTCCGCGCTTGAATCGTGCAAAGAACTCGGCTGATCATGCTTCTCCGGTGCACGAGTGCGAGGTCTTGAGAGGTAAACGCAGCGTCATCGTTCGCGAGCAAATTAGACGTCCTATTGGCTAGGCTGCCGATATAAACGGGACTGGTCGTAATCGATCAGTGCTCGAGATTACGAGAGTCGTTTTAAGATTTATATCTCCGAGCAGCATCTACCGTGGGATGGACCATTTAACGACCTGATTAAAGCCTCTTAGACCTGCGCGTATTTCTGTCCGTGGATTCAATTTGGCCTCGCGTTCAAAGTGCTACTTTCAGAGCCGATCGACGGTGCGTTGTCTCGAGCAGTCTGCTTGACTCCAAGGTCACGCGAAAATATCGCGTAATTGGCAATGGAGATCGTTGGATAGTGACAGGAGTGGTATAGATCACGGTTCAAATAGTTTGGAGGTCACGCGGAAATTATTGCATCCGTGTTATTGGCTTGGAAGATCGGTTGCCTAGGTTATGCGAAGGTCGCGTAATGAACGGAGACTACGGTCGTGTCATTGAACCAACCTTGGTAGTTCATGGTTTTATGAAAGTGACCGGAGATCGTGCTATTAAAAGTCTAGGTCGTTTGAAGATCGCGTGGAATCGTCCGAGTCTCGTTCTCAGCGATTACAAGGTCTCTTATGCGAGGTTATCGATGCTTCGATATCGTACAGGGGCATTTAGGGTCCGATAAAAATTGCAGGGGTCATATTATCATTGACAGCCATGACCAGCCGTAAGTATCAAAATCGATAGGTGATACGGGATTTCAGTAACGTTATTAGAAAATATATGAAATGAACTAAGTCTGTTAGCATTTATAGAGACCCAGTACTTGGCCAGATTTAGCTCTAACGTATAATTATATATAAGGTACATAAGGTAAGGAAAAGATGACGAGATTCGAGTAGTCCTGCAAAAATTTCGTAGTGGGAATTCGTGTATCAAAACTGGGCCCAAGAAAAATCTATTGACACTTATAGAGACACTCATAGAGACCTAGCATTTAGACTTAGCTCTAAGATATAACGATGTATACAGTACATAAGGTAAGAAAAAGATGATGAGATCCAAGCAGTCATAGTCCTGCAAAAATTTCGTAGTGAAAAGTCGTGTATCAAAACTGGGCCCTAGAAAAGTCCATTGACACTTATAGAGACACTCATAGAGACCTAGTATTTAGACTTAGCTCTAAGATATAACGATGTATATAGTACATAAGGTAAGAAAAAGATGATGAGATCTAAGCAGTCATAGTTCTGCAAAAATTTCGTAGTTCTGCAAAAATTCTTGTATCAAAACTTGGTCCAAGACAAATTTATTGACACTTATAGAAACTCAGAGACCTAGTATTTGGACTTAGTTCTACGATATAACGATGTATATAGTACTTAAGGTAAGAAAAAGATGATGAGATCCAAGCATTCAAAAAAAAATTCATAGTGGTAATTCGTGTATCAAAACTGGGCTCAAGAAAAATTTATTGCCATTTATAGAGACTCACAAAGACTTACTACTTAGATTTAGCTCTAAGATCTAATAATGTATATGGCACATAAGGTAAGAAAAAGGTGACCAGATTCTGGTCCACACTCTGCAAAACTATGCACTGTAAAGTGTGATTAGGATCCATTTGTGATAGTCGATTATTTCACTGACTTCTAATTAGAGATCCTGGTGATCTCGCAACAATACACGGATTCGAGGTAAAAATCTGGAAGCTCTGTTGAATCTCTGATACAAAAATCGGCGCATAATCCTCGCGACTGTACTTGAATTTCCGAATGGCGTGTCAATCCGACATAAATAACCCGCGCTCCTCCAGCGGTACAACTAGCGCCACGCGACGCTCAACTCCGTCTAGGTGCGTTTGCCCAGCGGCTCGCAGTCGGACGCGGCATTATAACTTTAATCATGATTAACAGTTTTATACAGCGATTGTCAAGCCTAACTCTGATAAAGTCAGTTTGACGGCGACGTGTTCAAACAGCGGGTGCGTCCCTCAGGCCCCTGCGTCCAAGCGATGCGCCACCGGGGAAATTAGCCGGCAAAATAATTCATGGACGAAGCTTTTATTTGACGTCCACGTGGAATCCCTGATATTGCGACGGAGGGGAGGGCGACCAGCGCCGTTCGCGTAAACAAATGCGCTGCAAAATTGTTGATTCGCGCTAAGTACCCTCTGGAGCCTCCATCGTTTCGCCAACACCGACCAAGTTAACGCGGGAAATATTCTCGTTGCCGCTGTGTCGTTCCAGCAAATCGACCACGATAATGCACGTGGTTGCCTTAGAATTCCAACGATCCTACATATATCTTCCATTATATCCTTTCTGTCTTCTTCTTATTCCTATTCTCTTTCGCAAGATTACGATCTATACTTCGCTCAACGAGAATTAACAGGAAGTACGAACCACTTGCGTAGGGCACGGGATCAGGACAGGACTGGAACACCTTTTCCTAACCCCTAGGTATAAGTATAGAAGCTGGATTCGCTTGCATGGTCCCTTGGTAAGGGTTCTTTATTATACGTCTCTGAACATCAATGTTTGACAGCTATACTTTGACAGCTGCAGTGTTCACGTGAACGTTTCGCTTATATTTTCTACCTTTTCCTATTAAATGCAGCTTCGAATTAGATGTATTATACATAGAGGGTACTCGATGACCGTGCTGCCCTCTACTGTTACTTCATTTGTCTCTCGTTCCCCGATTTTCAAAATTACGAGATCGCTTCACGCAGATAACTGGAATCCGAAAATTCTTCGCAGGGGGCGCTGGAAGTCGATGTCGACCCACCCCTTTTGTTAAATTTCTAACCTCACCCTCCCCTCGGCAGGAACTGTTTCTGTTTAAAGTTTAAATCGCGCGAACCCAAGGGGAATAAGAGGACGGTCGCTTGAAAAATAAATAGGAGGGA